CTATCTAAGCTATAGATCTGATATTTCTCAGCTATTTTTAAAGATGCCCAAGAGCAGTCTGCTATACTGGATAAAGCTTATGCTTATACCGAAGCTATACTAAGCTAGCCTGCAAAACTATATCAGAATGGTTTTGCTTTATTTACAATATAATTTTTTATTGATTTAAACCAAGTCACCTTTTTTTGTTTTTTTTTTTCTTCTCTTTTTCTTTTTCTTTTTTTTTCTTTACTTTTCTCTTGGTTTGATTTTGATTATCAAAAACCTTTTCTGTAGTCTTATATGGCTGCTTTGTATTAGTAACAATATTTTTTGCTTTTGATTTCTATTTTCTCTTCTGTTTGGTATCAATATCTTTTTCTTTTTCCTATTCATTAATAGCTAACATCTATACTTTCAGATATTCTTGTAAAAAAAATTTCATACTAAGTTCACTGCTATTTTCAAATAATTTCTTATCTTTTCCAGTAGTCTTATAATGTCGAGTAGTTTTCTAAAGACCTCTTCCTGGATTAGACCCTTGAGAAGACCGAATCTTGTTCTGATTCTTTTTTCTCTTGTTAGTCTTTATAAAATGTTCTTGAGTTGGACTTTGTTAAGCTAACTTCTTGTTTCTGTAGTTAAAACCATCCAAGCTATATTTAATACAGTTTGTTCTAATTCATTCTATTTTTCTTCATACTTTTCACATTTAATTAAATGAGCTTGCTCTTCCTTTTCATTTTTTTTACAAATTATACAAAAGGAGTTTTCGTATAGGTCTGGTTTTCTACTAGCCAAGGTTTTAAGTACTGGTAATCTTTTGTATAGATACTTGATCAATACCTCTAATCATTGGTTCTTTTTTGAGCTAGTATATCTAATTTCACTCTGGCTTCTAATTTTCTTCTACAAAATTAGCTAGTGATTTATTTTTGATATATCATCTAGTTTTTCTTTTTGTATTGCAGTTAATGTTCTCTAGTTTAAGCTTGTTTAGAAACAAAGAACTGTTTGTATGAATTGTCTTGTAGAGCTTTCTACTATTTTGTCTTCTCAATATAATAAGATATTTGACTTCTGAGAGGTTTTTCTACTATATTGTCTTTATCTTCTACTGTATTTTAGAATCTAATTTTGCTAAACTATCTGCTAAATCATTTTATCTATTTTCATTATGACCTTTTATTTTAACTAATTCTATTTGTATTTCCTTAATCTTAGCTATATCAACTATACTATTTACTAAACTATAATTCTCTTCTTTAAATATTTATCATATTGTTTTTTTTTTTTCTCCTTTCTATACCTTCTATTGCTAACGCACTGTCTGTATAGATTTTCACTTTCTTTTTACTTGGTACCAAAAAAAGCATACCAATTCTGAGCAATTTAGCTTTTGTTGATGATGGTCAATTTCTTGCTTTAAAATAGCCCTTATTTATCTTTTGATTTTCTTTTTCATTAACTTGTACTCAACTAGTTTCCATCCTTACTGATTTATTTTGTATAGATGAATCTTTATTTCTTAAGGATCTATCAGTGTAGAATATTATTTAAAATAATAAGCTTTCTCTTATTTCTGAGCTCTTGTTTATAAGATCCACTTTTATCTTCTCGCTAATAAACTATTTATTGATGATTTTAGTATCTAAATTATAATAGCGAACTTCACATACTTCTCTTTTATTTGGTAGTATTTCTGATCTTAGAAGCTGTTGTGTCGTTTAAAAGCTTCTTGAGGAATTTTGAGTATATTCCTCTTCTGTTTGTCTATATATTTTATAATAGATCCCTGCAGTATTTCTTTTCTTATTAGAGCTCTGTATAAGTTTTCTTGCTTCTTTTAGTCAAGCTTGTAACTGCTGCATTTTTTTAACTTGATCGATAATGTGTTCGGGTCTTCTTCTGCATTCTAGTGCTCTGTTAAGAACTGCTTTCTTTTTTTTGATAGTTTTCTGAAGACTAGATTTTTATTCTTCTTGTTCTTTATATTCTGGACTAAAATCTAGTCTTTCTTTTTTTGATCATTTACTAATAGATTTGGAATAGCTTGAAGCATTCAAATATTTAGTCTTTCTGACTTGAACTCTATCTTGATAGTTCTCTTCTCTTCATTTTCTAGAACTCTTTTTTCTATTTCTTGAAACTATTTTGCTTTTTTATCTTTACTTGAGCTTTTTTAAGAATCTTTAGCTACTGTCAGATTATTAAATGATCTTTTGTACTTGTTAGCAGTTATATAAGTGAGATCAGATTCAATTTCCTCAGAACTCTAGCTACTGGTATAATAAAGCTTTTTTTAAGTATATTTGCTAATCTATAGTCTTTGCTCTCTGTTATCAAGATTATGTTTCTAAACCTTAACATGATTCCTAGTTCTCTAATATTTAATATTGTTCGATATACTAAATTATTTTTCTAGATATATATACAGGCTGCTGGTAGTTCTTTATACTATATGTTCTCTGTTGACCCTATCATTCTTATACCTAGTGCTTGATACAATCAAACAAAAACTTGACAGTCAAATACTTGTAATTAGTCAGACATTGAATTATCATAGAACAAACAAGTTATATATACTTAAGTATTAATATATGTATATATAACTAACTTGATCTATGATCATTTGATGTCTGACTAATTACAAGTATTTGAGAATCAAGTTTTTGTTTGATTGTACTGAGCACTACTCATACTTTTGATTATTCTTAGCAATGTTAATATCTTTTTCAGGCCAGAGGTGTTTAATCAGAGATGTAAGGCTAGAGATTTGTTTTGTTAAAAGTTTGTTTTATAAAGTATTGTAGTTGCTAATACTTCTGTATAAAATTGTATTATTGTTTATGGTTCTTGATAGTTCTATCTTATTCTTGGTCAAAATATATAAGAAAGCTTAAAGGCTATTTATTATCTTTTTCTTAAATCTAGAAACTTGTAATATATAATATAGCTTTGGTACTATATATATATTATTAATATATGCTGCTTATGCTATAGTTACTTTTTTGGGATTCAGAATCCTTGTTGTTGAACAGATAATTTCTTCTGCTCTTGCTTTCACCAGAGATTCATCTAATTTGTTATTCAACCATACTCCAAGAAATCTTGTGATCTTGTTCTTTCCCTCTTCTGCTAGCCATTCATTACCAAAAAGAAGTCTTCGATCTTCTTTTTTCTCTAGTAAGTTGCAAATGATTAATTTAGATTTCTTTCTATTAATTTGTATATTATTGAGTCTAAAGAACTTTTCAGCGATTTGTATAATTTTTTCTATTTGAGTTTTGCTTTCTGCGATTCATGTTGTATTATCAACATATACTATCACCACTTGTCTTCACTTAATCTTTTTGTATTGATTTAAGCTATAATTGTATGTGATTCTTTGAGTAACAGTATACCCTAGCTCTGGATCTTCCTGAATTCTTGACAGTAATGGGTTATAAAAGATTCTTTATATAAACAGAGAAAATTATTTATATTACTTTTTCTTAATACTTTTAAAACTTTACTTATTCTAAAGATCTATCAACTTCATAATAACCTAATCAATTTAGATTTTATAGTAAATTTGCAATTTAGATATATAAAATTTTAATCAAAAAAAATCTAATATAACCAAACCTCTCTATAGTCTTTTTTCGATAGTTACAAAATTAATACAATTTTAAATTTATTTTACCAATTATTTATAACTATACAGAAAATACCTCTATAGTAATTACATTTCTTTATAATTACTATTTTTGATATCCTAAAGCTGTGACTATAAAAAGTTTAACTATATATAGCAAGAATTTTATTCTACTTAATATGCAAAACAAAACTAACAATATATAATTATTTAACATACTCTTCATTATACCATATTTTACTCATTATAGAAATAACTGATGAATCTAAGATAATCTCACAATAAAATAATGATTTAAATACAGTATTATTTATCAGAAAATTCATATCAAAAAATCTGATAAGCTTTTTATATACATTGCATAATATATATAAAAAATTAACCCTCACGCCTTTTTTTTAAAAAAAAAACTCCCAGCGCATGGGCAGGCGCATGACTTGTTAATTAAATGCAATTAGCTAGACTCATATTATAAATATAAAGCGTGTATGCATTTTAAGTTTTTTTCTTTTCATGATATAACCTCTCAGCGTGTATTAGACCTGGGGTCTACTAAAGAGACCCGGGCACTTTTACGGTAACAATGTCATTTATATCTTTATTAAAAAGTTACTTATATTTCAGATATTAAATTTAATGATGAATTGAATTTCCACGAAGCCTTACTTGATTCTCGAAGCAAAACAATGGGAATTTACATGTAATCAAAAAGTCGAAGTTTAAAAACATCAATTAGTATAATGAAATGATTCATTAACGGTAATCTATACATCTAATCGAGATATTGATGCGAACAATGAAATTAAAATTTATTTGGCGCTTCTAAAATTCAAATAATCAGTGCCTATTGGATTGATAGAATCTTATGTATTTCAGCTACTTCTACGTTTAGTGAACAACTTTCCGGTGATGCCAAAACATTTTATGAATAATAAATGTACCTTCGTAAATGCTGATTTGTTTGAGCGTATCTTATTAAGAGAAACATGAACTAGGTTGGTAGAATATTTTCTCAAGATTGAACTTAATAATCTTTAATAGAAAGATAAATTCTTTAATATGCATTTATAAAAATATCATGAAAATTATAATAGAGCTTTCATATACAATGAGAGGTACAAGGCTACAATAATAGTAGAAATTCAATTATTTTTAGAATTTTTCGGGTGAATTATAAATATCAATTGTGAAGACTACAAGTTTCTCAAGATCATACAACGAAAAGTACCGGGGATGTTTAATAACTTTAAAGCGATAATTTTGCTTAACTTTCTAAAATAAATTTATTAATGTTAATCTGAACATATTTAATGAATAGTTTTGACCGGATACAATATTCTGGCGGGTTTTCAACTAACAACCGGATATCCATTGGATCCAAGCACTAAAGCGTATCAAACTTAAGTCCTTCATGAATTCCTCCAGTTGATTTAGGGGTTATTAAAGGATGAAGTTGAGCTAAATAGGTAATTGCCCACCTTTTTCGCAAATAAAAATATTTAATTTTAAAATCATTAATTTTCTAAAAATGAGAGAATAACATCAAAATAACATACATCAAATAACAACAAACGATTGTTAAAATGAGTGAGGTCCGTATCGTCCTAATTTTAAGAGAAATTGATGTTCCGTAAATATTACGAAACAGTTAAATAAATAAATATTATCTGCATAGCCCTTTTGCTGTAAAATATTGATAATTATCACCAACTCATTTTCGGAAATATTTTACCGAGCTAAAAGTCTTGAATAACTACTTACGTCTGATTTGGTCCTTTTGGAACCAAAATATAAGAAAGTGCGATGAAAATTGCAGCACCAAATCCTATCATTATAACGTTCCAACCGCCCATTTTGACTAAGAATTCGTCAGGTTTTAAAGATATACTACAGACCCAAATTTATCTTGGCGAAAGGTTTTTTAAGCTAGCAATTTTTTATTAGATACATATGTATCATAAGTCAAGTGATCAAAATCATTAAAAATCCCGAT